GAAACTCACCACTTTGAATTGGTTTTCCATTTGTTGCTGGTGTGGGGACAGATGTCCCGGTTGTTTGATCAGCATACTTTAAATCTTGCATTTTTGATGCAGCAATTCGTTGTCGTTGTTCATTTAGAATGTCTTCAATGCTTTTAGTCAATGGAATAGATTGGGTGGTTGTGTTGTTTGTAACGTTAGCTTCTGATTCGGATTGCTGCTGTGAGTATTGCTCGATATTGTCTGGGTTCATGATATCATTGCTTTCTATTCGATATACATTCTCAATGTCTATGCAAATATTATTATTATTGTCTGTATAATAGTGTTGTTCCTGAGAACTGTTGTTTTCGCTAGGTAATTCGTCGGGCAGTGTTGATGAGAATGGGGACAATAAGAATAAACTACCGACATAGATCAAAAGAATACATGAAACAGTGATGACACGTAGCGATATATTCACCGAATTCAATTGACGTGAAACTCGAGTCGGTAGTAACATTATTTATCAGATTTTTTTTTTTTTATTAATTATTTTCTTTACCCACTTTGCACAAAAGCCTTACACACTTCACCACTCAAATTCAAAGTGCAGTGCTTGAACTGCTTCTGGTGATTGATCACTTCAATGATAATGGATATTAATTTATTTTTGTAACATTTTTATTGCTTTCATCGACGTGTATTTTTTATTGCAATTATTCGCCGGTTACACAGTACTGGACTGAAGTTTTGAAATATAGAGAATGCGTCACTATAGTCTAAATAAAACATTTTTTCGAAATTCGCATCGAATGTTTTCATTCGGGAGTTGCAAAATATGGAAAGCTCGTTACCTACGCACGCGTATGTATATCTAAAATTACTCCAGCTTTCGTACAGAAAAATGTTAAATTTCTTTTGCAATGTTGAATGGTTTAAATGATTTCTGCCAAGATTTCGCCCACTTTAACGAGAAGCTTGTAGTAAATTTCATGAAAACAGTCCAAATCAAAATATCCATAATAACTGAGCATAGCATTCAAACCTTCGGAACCCTATCCACATAGGAAAAACCTTAGATAGTTCTCAATTTATGAGTAAAAAAAATTTAAGAAAAAAATATACGAATTGGGTTCATTGACATCAGATTCCAATAAAAGCTGTTGTTTCAAAATAGAACTCTGACGTACCATGCAATCATGAAATCACATAAACATGATTTACGAAATTTTTTAATTTCTTCATCGAATTCGAATCGAATTATTCGATCCACTTATCATTTGAGTCGCTATAGCAACATTGGATAACAAGATTCTTAAAAGGTGTCTGTTGTTGGTTTAATTGCATTCTAAAAACATTCAGACGCGTGCCATAATGTTGTTGCACACATTTGCACATTGACTTGTTTACATGTAGTCCTTCCGAATGCCAATTCCATACATGCAAACACACTGTGCACATTCAACGTATATAGTGAACGCTTGTGCGATTCTTTGTTTTCTCAGCCAAAATGCTCAGCTATCCAATTGAAAATCACTGGTTGTAAATCATACGATTTTTCTCATCGTAACAGAGAGAGAAATAAGAATGTTCAACAATTCGTGTTTGTTATAAATGGCAAAATTTATAGATAACAAATGACGTCAATTCATACAATCAGAACAGTTTGTTACAGTTTCAATATTTACTTCAATTTTATTTGTTTTTCTTTGACTCAACAACAATTAGTTAAAAATACAAACAAATTTGAATTTCGATTTTAACCGAGAGATGAGCGCAGTCAATATGATTGTATTGTGACGTCGCATATCTTACAGAAAAACACCATCTGTGTAAAACAGGCTTACTACAATGTAAAAGTATAGCGAGGGGAAGGAGATGAAGAAGAAGGAGAAACAGATATACGTTTGATTTACATTGTAGGCAGCGTGTTTTACGTAGATGGTGTTATAAGTATATGTCCAAATTGCGCTTGCCCTTTGATTTTAACCTTGATAGTTGAATACGTCAAGATTAAAATAATTTTAATAAACAACAACAATTCCATCTAACACCACCTTTCGTCTAGAGCATATCTATGATAAAAATGTGTATACGTTTTTTTTTTTAAATTGAAAACTTAAATGAACATTTTAAAAATAAAAGAATAAATTATAATACAAAAAGATAAAATTATGTAGCAGCAAAATCAGCGTCGTATGCAAATGGATTTTGTAGTAAGGGATTAAACATTGTGGAATTTAGTTCTTTTTTATTGTCGATCAATTTATAGCCCCATACTGACATTGCTTTGGCACAGTAACTTTGGATTCGTTGCACTTCGGCCCAAGTAGAACTGCGCGTCCAAAGAAATGGTACTGTTTTTGAGTCTCGAAATGTTGAATAGTCGCCACCATCTCTTGTACGTGTATGTAAATCCAAATAATTATCAATATTCTGATCGAATGGCATTCCGTAAAAGTTAAAAATTTCTTTTGTCATATTGAATGGATTCAATGATAAATCTTCGTATCGTATTGCTTTAAACTGTGATGGATATTTGTTTATTAAGATTTTCGCCGATTTAAAATCGTCTACCAGGTCTTTACATAACTCTGCAGAAGTATTACAGTCTGGCCTGTCGCACCAGGAATGAGGCTTACGTGATGCCATTGTTCCTCTAGGATCACGAATCAATAACACAACCTTCACATTTAATGCTGGATCTTTAAAAAGAGACTCTGCAAATGCGGCACGTAATCGTACTATTTTCATTGTTTGAATCGGAAACAGGCGACAGAATGAATTTAGAAAGTTTGGATCCCAGCATAAATTCTCGTGCGGTTTGCAGCTATTCCACAGTGGTACCGTGTGAGCACGGAGGAATTGATTACCTGATTCTTTTGAATGTCTGAGATATTGTTGAAGTCCGGTATAGTTACACTTCAACAATTCACTGATTGTATTAATTGCGTCAGTTGATTTAGGTGGGCCACGAATCTGAGCTGTCAAAAAGTGCGCTAATGGCTCAAAATGGTAAAAAGTGCCGGGTATTGCATTCAAAATGTCACCAAGAAACGTAGAACCAGATCTCCATGTCGATATAATGACTAGAAAGAAAAAAGAGCGTAAAGTTATCAACAAAAGCATTAAAATGAACAAGTTTTATGTCACCAGCTAAAATGGATTGTTGAATGAAATCGTAAATTAGCACTGACATTATTCAATTCAAACTCACTATTATGAATTTGCCGTCCATTAGTTTCTGGTGTTAGGGAAGACAGACCAATCATTTCTTCAGTAAAATTGAAATCATTCATTTCTGCTGCAATTTTCTGTCGTTGTGTATCAATAATCATGTCTTCCATGCTTGGAGGCTTTTTAGTAGGTGCGGCGGTTGTGGTATTTGTAACCGTGGTTCCTGATTCGGATTGATACTGCGAGATTTGCGCGGTATAATTTGTACTCATGCTCTCATTATATTCCAAAATATCCACAATGTTACGGTCGTTGGCAATAATATTATCAATAATATCGTCTGCATTATCATGTTGATGATTGTATTTTTGATAGGAATTGTCGATTCTGAAGTTTGGCTCAATTTTATCAGGCAAAGCTGATGAGAATGAAGACAGCAAGATTCGACTACTAACATAAATCAATAGAATACATAACACAATGATGACACGTAACGATAATTTCACCGAATTAAATCCACATCCCCTTCGAGTTGATAACAACATTTTAAATCGATAATTTTACAAATTATATACAGATTTTGGTTCTTGAAGTAGAGGACTTTGAACCAAATTGCATACAAACTTCACGCAAACTGCAAAAGAAAAACTGGATCAAATTTACAGAAACGATTTTTAACAAATATTAACAATTCAGCCACCTCATCACCTCTTTTGATGAGAACTACACTTCTTAATATTTGATGGTTCCTCATTGTCTCATGTAAATTGAAATATAGTCAAATAAATTAACCATAAACTTAAATAATACTCATGAACATTTTCATTTACAGCCAAATAAAATAATATCCAAGCCAAGAACACGTAGCGAAAAGCTAAACGAAACGAATATAACTCCATCTGGGACTATTTCGAAACAAAAACAAATTACCTAAATCCACAGAACTTTTAAAGCTACGAATTGTTATTAAACAATAGACCATTGATGCTGCCGACCAAGGACATAATTTATTTATGCTTTAAAATCATTTTTGGTTTGTTTGTACTCGATTTTTTTGGATTTCTAAGCCCAATCCATAAAATCATTTTTTATGGAAAATTTCTAAGAATTTTTATACGAAAACAACTTCTTTCTACGACTTTGATTAATATTGCTCAGTATGTCAGCGGACCCCTGAAGGGTCAGAAACATTTTTTAAATTGAGCTCGTCTAAACATCAATCAGTTTTTCGTATTTGTTGTCAAAGTTGGACGGCGTTGCAGAGACTCTAAATTTGCCATCAGCACAGCACGCAAATATGATCATGCATATAAAATTCATCAGATTGAAAATGGAACTCACACCTTTTAATTAGTTTCATGCGCAAAGAATTAAAAATGATAATTCGAAGTGAGATAAATTTTATTATTGACATGTATTGTTGCTATACGCCTTACAAAATTTCGACTGTAATAAATAATGATAAAAACGAAGCAATTCATATAACATCAACATTCGTACAATTGTTCAATTGATGTGATATAAAGATTCGTCTAAAAATATTTATAGGGATATTCTACTTCAAAATTTTACTCAATTTCATTTGTCGTTGTGCGATATCATTCAGACCTTTGTTACTCATCAATGTTTTGCTCGTTTTCACATTTATTCATTTTGATAATCACAATGTTTTCAAAAAGATTACTGCCTGCAGTATAATAAGACATAATTTATGTTTCGTGAAAAGTTCTATTGATCAATAAAATTACACGCATTACACATAGTGTATTGGATAAATAATTTGGAATTTTTATAAGTTTTGTTGTGTTATTAAAATTTCAGAAGTGAAGGCATTTCTTGTTTTCTTCAGCTAAACAACTGGAAATTAAGTTTTTAAACATGCAATACTATTTTCATGGGGCGAATCACGCTAGTGAATACTAGAAAAACTAGTAAATCTAGTGCGAAGATTGACGTCACAAACGAAGCCAACTTTACACCGAAGGCCATATAATTTATATGAAAAACTACTGAGAACCAACTTCACGCACTAGAATTTTCTAGTTTTCTAGTGAAATTTTATCAAAAACTAGACGCACTAGAATTTCGTGATTGACCCCATGACTATTTTACTTTAGAACATATATCAGCATTATACGGTGCACACATTAAAATAAATGAATTTTAAAAAGATTTAAATAAAAAGAAATTTCATTTAACTTTGTGAGGTTATTTGCGATAAATTTACAAACAAAAATATATCGTACTTCTAATAAAACCTATTTTTACATGTAGTTTTAGTTTGTCGTTTTTAAAAGTAAAACAATCAGTACAATGGGCTAGGGGACATTCGTAGGAATTCTAGTAAGCTAGTTTTACTTACGTATTCGCTAATCGCTTACTAGTATTACTAGTGAGTACACTAGTGCTGCTAGTAGCTGCTAGTTTTTCTAGTGTTTTGAAATTACCTAGACGTATCGTATGATACATAAAAGAAACAACAGTAATGCTTAAGTCGCTTGTAAACGAACCAAGTGAATAGCGGAGACGCACGATAACGAAGTGAGTGTATTGCGGCAACGGATAACAACGTTCGTTGTCGCTATTCACTCACTTCGTTTTCGTGCGTCTCCGCTATTCACTTGGTTCGTTTGCAAGCGACTTACGCATGCTACAATATATTTTACATGCCTCAATTCATTTGCTTTGGACTATAATACGCTAGTGTTTGCTAGTCGCTGCTAGTTGCTGCTAGTTTCACTAGTTTTTCTAGTATGAATGTCCCCTAGACAATGGGTTGACGGTATATGCGCAACATGAAATATTTATCAAGTTCGAGAGTCAAGCGCAATAAGGGCACACTATATAAACGCCATCTATTAATAACCGACTAACTACAATGTAAATCAAACGTATCTCTTTCCCCTTTTTATTTACTCCCTTCCCCTCTCGCTATACTTTTACATTGTAGTTAGTCTGTTTTACAAAGATGTCGTTTCTGTGTAAGATGTGTGACGTCACAATGTATTTATATGGATAGCGCTCGACTCTCGATCAAGTTCAAAATATATCGAATGAATTTTGGGGTGTGAGTTTTCATGATCCCCCCTGATTTTGGAATTTTGTTCTATGTCGTAAACGAAGTGAGATGAATAGTCTCAGATAGTTAGATGCCATCGTTGGCTAAAGCTGTAGCCGTTAATAAGATGAATAGTTTTTGTTTCCATATGACCCTTTGGTATTCACTTTTTAATTAACTAAAAAATGGTCCACAATTTGTAAGGGGATAATCAATGACAGGATGTGAAGACTTCAAGTCTCATTGAGCCGACGGTGGCACCACCAATTTCAAAGGGGACGTCAATGTTATTTAACAACTCAAATCGAAACTAAACAGCGCGCCAATTTTAAAATTTGCTGTCATTTCCTCCCATTGGGGTTAATTTTAAAATCCGTTCTCCAGTGGTAGAAACAAAAGTCTTGGTATTTATTTAAAATATTATTTGGGTATTTCAGAGTATTATTTCATCTTCTTCTGTGAATTTTTCAGCACCATTATCGTCAATATTAGAAAAGAGTCGACTCCATATTTTATAACGATCAATGTTCAAATGATCTTTCATTGTGGGGTAGTCATTGATGTCTAAATAGTTGAACTGTTCAATATGCATTTGACTCCAAATGAGGTTCTGTAAATATCGATCTGTGTTTGAATTCGGATTTCTGCAAAAGAATGTTAGAAATCAATGTAAAAGCCAAAAAATACAATATCTGTTTCGTAAAAACTTACCCAGTCCCCGCAAATTCGGATAGGAATCGAGTTAAACGTTGAACCGTCACATACTCAGGATCACCTTCAGTAAAAAGTGGCGTTTTTCTCACATTCACAAATAAATATAATAAATCATCGTAATGAACAGCACCAACTGGCTTATCACTTGGATGATACGTATGACTGTAGCGAGTAGCATGATTAAATTGATAATAATAAACTGGTGTAAAGGCACTAGCTAATTTAACGAAGCGATACATTGCAAATCCGACGGCACCATCCGCAAACAACTAAATAAATCAAACAGAAATTACACACAACGTTAATGAATTTTAATATTAAATCAAACGAATTCTTCCTTACTTGGTTCAAATTCAATAGTGATCTATGGTCCTCAACTGGTTCTTTTAAAAAATGATGTCTTAATTGCTCCGAAATATACTGTGAATTGAGCGTATCTCGTTCATACAAAAAACAGATTGGTGCCCATTTCGAAAAATTGTCATTCACTTCAGTTCGAAGAGTTTCATTCTGTATCACAGCTGAAATTTAAACAAAAATGATGTACAAAAAAATTATGCTGTGAAATTAAATTACTCCATTGCTTACTGATGGCCGATTGCAAGAGTTCAAGCTTTGTGAGGCCAGCCAAAATTGGAACACGAGCAAAATCGCCTCTTTCAATTAATTTTGTCGGATTTTCGGTTAGAAAACGTTCTTGGCCAAAATCAGGTTCAACCACTGGCTTCCACAATAAAATTGGATTCCCCGAACCGAATTCGAACATGTCCTTTAAACTATTGCCAATATCAGCTATGTTTTTCTTAAATGGATGAAACGCATTCAATTGGATAATGTTCAACAGCTATGTTGCCAGAAGCACTTACCTGTTTTAAACACTTTAACATATTTATAGTGCTGTGATCGGGACAATTCAATAATCTAGCTTGTTTTTTCACCAAAGTCAATTGGTTTGTTGGTATATCCCACTGTCCCGTAAAAGCTCCGCTCATTACAACGGCTTTGTGGAATAGACCTGCTTGGGATACAAAAATGAATTTTCTGTTGCGCTTAATTTTGTCCAAACGCGTTTTTAACCTTTTGACATGGGTGAAACCATATGTAGCGTGACACTTATGGCCCCTGCGCCATATCCCATTAATGTGATTGAATTTGGATCACCGCCAAATGATTGAATGTGATCGTTAACCCAACGTAATGCCAAAATCTGATCTTTCAATCCATTGTTTCCGGGAGCCTCCTTAGTTCCCGTGCTTAAAAATCCTAGAATTCCCAATCGATAATTAATCGTAACCAGAACAATATCACGTCGAATTAAGTATTCCGGTCCGAATTCATCACTTCGCCCGGAAGATTGATAAAATCCCCCTGGATGGATGAAGACAATCACCGGCCTATTTGCAATACTCGATACATTTTTCGTGAACACATTCAAACGCAAGCAATCTTCTGATATTTCAGCTGCACTTATAACTGGTTGCGAGCATTTTGGTGAGTCTCGAATTGCATTGAATGTTCCATTCCATGGATTTACTGGCACCGGTGCCTGTCAATTTCATTTTTTCATTAGAAATTATTGTACATATTTTGTTTAGAATTTACCTGAAATCGCAGCTCATTTATTGGCGCTTGGGCATATCGAATACCCCGAAAACTATACAACGATTCACCCGAATTGAGTCTCACATATTTCCCACGAATTTTACCAAGACCAATGATTGTAACTGTTGGCGTTGCATCCCAAAAGTTAAAAATCGCTTTTCGAAATTCATTCGCCGCGAATAAAAGTAGAATCGGAAATATTAAATTCCAAAATCTATTGTGATTCATAATTTTTTACGTGTTTAAACACTTTTTGACAATTCTTATAAACGTCTAATATCAACGGAACAACACAAAGTATTGATTGAGATTTGGTTCAATCATAATCAATATTTTAAATGGTTATCAGCTATTAACACGTACTTCAAAACAAACTACGTATTGATTCACATACAGATAACAATCTACAACAAATACAACAACAATGTAACGACATTATTTTTTCAAGTAAACAATACAACATGTATTGAATATGATTGAATATCACTATCAATGAAACTTCCAATGGCCCACGGTCAATATACATATTATAAGTCAAAACAACATTGAACCTATTCCAACTTAATTGAATTAATTTGTAATTTTCCGTTTGTGATCAATACAATAGTCGAATACCATTACAACACGATCAATTTGAATACTAATATCTATCACTTGAAATTTATTAATTTTCGCAGTTTGTTTCTCCTTTTGCTCCTTTTAGCATTCACTACAATTTATTACGGAGACAACCACACGCGATGTTTCGCATCGATTGACACACGGGTCAGGCGATAACAAAATCTCATGAAACGTGATACACATTTCAACAACAGTAACAATTCATTTGCAACCACTTATCACATTCAATGATTAATTTAAATGTCGAAGTGAAGGATTGAACAGACTCAGAATGAATTTCAAACGGTTTTCATGTATTTACATCGTTTCAAAGCAAAAACAACTCGATTAGTATATGTTTTATTCTTTTTTTAATAGCATCGCATAAAAAAATTCAGTTGATATAACTTTCGATCGCGGTTTTTTATTCTGAAGATGAGAAGGAGGGAGAGTGCTGAGGAGGAAAAGTGTTTTTTCAATCAAAACGCGACTTTTTTTTCATTTTTATCGGAAAAATATCTTATTTGGTTAAAAAAAAACATTTTCCACCTCCTCAGCGCTCTCCTTCTGGAAGAATAATCCCTGATTTAGACGCTGACTGTAAAGCAAACTTGAGTATCAAACGCGTATCTGTTTTCAAATATTGAAATATGGGTTTGATGTTCAAATCTCAACAAAGTAAAGCCATCCGATACGGTCTTAGTGTCAGTTTATACGGTACAAAATTGTGTGATTCACAACGATCACTGGAATGATACTGAATATGTCGATTCATGTTTTTTTTTTGCGTTTTTGCTTCAGTGCAAACAATCGGCAATATCCCAGACAGTAAGAAAACAAATGACTTGAATGTCAAGACTTTGAGTCGCCAAAAGTGATTGCAATCACGTCGAGCGTCTTTGAAATACGTTTTCCATTCAAATGATGATGTTAATAAGAAATAAACTTTTCACCTTTTTTACTTGGCGCTATTCATTCATTTACGCATTCGTCAAAATAATAATATGAAAAGGTAAAAATGCGTTCAATGTGAAAATAGTGTCTCAAGATGATAATCATTTTGGCAGTTCAGATAGTTCACAAAATCTTGACCCAATCGATTTTTAGATCAATTTTAAATTATATTCAAGTCTACCGTTAATTTTGCATTCATAAATTCCAAATTGGATCTTTATCGCGCTCGTTACGTTATGAATATAAGGAACCACTGCGCAAAAAGTTGTCATTCGACTAAAGAATTCGAAATGGAGCTGTTTGAAAAATTCGCGTGCTTGAATTCGACGATGGATTTAGTTGGTCTGCCCATTTATATTTTCGTTGGAATGGTTGTTACAGTTTTTATAATTTACAAATGGGCAACTCAAAACGATGGATACTTTGTGAAACGTGGAGTTACAGCATTAAAGCCAGCTTTATTTTTTGGCAATTCGCGTGAGTTTTTCACAAAGAAAATTGATTTAATTGAATTTGTTAAGAACCTGTATAATGACTTCCCGGACGAAAAGTGAGTTTTTGACATTCAGTCAGTTGATTCAAAATAAAAGTATCTTAAGTATTATTTTAGGCTATCGGGTTTCTTCAATTTCATGCGTCCCATTTATGTACTTCGTGATCCTGAGCTGTATAAACAAATTGCGATCAAAAATTTCGACTCTTTCGTTGACCATCGCTTTATTATTGAGCCACAAATGGATTCATTGATGGGCAACACATTGTTTTTGATGCGTGGCGAAAAGTGGCGCAAAATGAGAGCCACGTTAACACCAGCCTTTACCGGTTCCAAAATGCGTCACATGTTCGATTTGGTTAGAGATTGTGCAGCTGAGGCGAGAAACTATTTGCTTGAAACACGTTTTACCACTGTTGATGATGAAGCTTCTATTGAAATAACCGATTTTTATTCGCGTGTTACAAATGACACCATTGCATCATGTGCATTTGGATTGAAAATAAATTCGTTGATTGATCGACACAATGAATTTTTCGAAACCGGTTGCAAATTGCAGCATTTAAATTCGCTAAAATCATTTATGAAAATTTGGTGTTTGCGTGCATTTCCATGGCTATTCGAAAAGTTACATATTGAATTTGTTGATCGCAATATACGAAAAGTGTTTTCGAATTTGGTGTTGCAAAATATTGAAGCACGGCGTGAGAACAATATCATTCGACCCGATTTAATTGATTTGTTGGTGAATGCAAAACGCGGATCTATTTGGTCAGATGACGAAATTATTTCGCAGGCGTTTGTCTTTTTCTTGGCTGGGTTTGATACAACAATGGTAAGCGATAGGTACATTTTGTGATTGATTTAATTGATTTGTTTATCATTTGCAGTGGGTTTTGACCGCCGTTACTTATGAATTGGCACTCAATCCAAATATTCAAGATCGACTTATCAGTGACATTGAAGAGGTTGAAAAGACATTGGGCGATGCATCGATCACCTATGATGTTTTAAAGAAAATGAAATATTTGGATATGATTGTCAACGAATGTCTTCGTCTTCACTCGCCAGCCGTACTTATTGATCGTCTTTGTTCGAAACGCTTTCATTTGACCGACGGCGAAAAGGTTGATGTACACATTGAGAAAGGCGATCACATTTGGATCCCGATATACTGCTTTCATCACAATGAAAAGTACTTTTCACAACCAGAGGTCTTTGATCCGAACCGTTTTAGCGATGAAAATCGAAAAAATATTGAACAAGGCCATTACGTGCCCTTCGGAATGGTGAGCTATAAATCCAATTTATGATTGTTTGCTTTTGAGATTTAATGATTGATTTGCAGGGACCGAGGAGTTGTATTGGCGGTAGATTTGCGCTGATGGAAGTCAAATTGATTATTTATTACATGCTGAGTCATTTTACGTTTAGAAGTACGGAACAAACTGAAATACCAATGAAAATAAAATCGTCTCCATTTGGATTGAGCCCGAAAAATGGTGTGGTGCTATCGATCAAACGAAGGAAATAAGAAAAAAAGACAGAACATGTGCGAAAACTTCTTCGTTGAAATAAAGAAAAAGTGTCTTCATTGTTTTTACTCATATTTATATTATTTAATCGTTGAGAATTTTATCTTTTTCATCAGACAAATAAGGCTAATTCTTAAAGTTAAGAAAAAAAAAATGAAAACGATGAAGATTTCGATTTGTATTTTTTTATTAAATAAAATTGTTTTAATTGTAATTGACAATATGTTGTTTTTAGCATCGAATCCAATTAGTTTAGTTGCATTAAAATTCTAGTACTTAGCCTAACTTCATACATAACAATGACTTAGAATCTACGACACGAAAGCAGTTGGGACAGTTTTTTTTATTTCTCATTCAAAACACTGATTTCGATTTGGATTTTTACAATTTTGGAGTCAAGATGATCGAAAAACTATTCAAATTAAAAAGAATTTACATTTTCCAACGATTAAAAAAAAAATGAAAAAGAAAAATTTGTGAAATCATAAAGAGTAAAGAAAATAGACTATAAAGAGAAAGAATATTTACAATTGCACATATAAATATTGGAAAGATCGGCATCATTGGTGCAATCAACAGAGATATGGTTAGTTCAGATTCAGTATGATTATAGAAGTGGTTATGTGAGTTTTGGTTGTTGTTTTTTGTTTAAAATCTAAATGTGACAGTAGGTGTGATGTAAGGACATTAAACACATAGCCAGTAAGTAAAATAGATAGAAATGATGAATGCCACAAAAATTAAAAACAAATACAAATATTAAGCCGAAAATGCTTAAATTATTAAAGGAAAATCCATTTTATATACAATTTTTTGTGTGTGTATGTGTGCAATGCGTAAAAAAGCACATAAAATTTAGTCTAGATAATTCCAATGGATGTGCCGTTTCCCCAGGTGTTGAATGACAACGAAAAAAAAAATCGAGAATTTTTGCAGGAATTTCGTGTGCGATTCGGTTTTCAGTTGGAGATTGTATACAGAGTTTGTGGTGCGGGTGGTTTGGTTGTGCATGTGTGAAGGGTTCGTTGTGTGTTTGGGTTTGTGTGTGCGCGCAGACTATCAATGGTTTCCACGTAAGCTTCGATGACCACCGTTTACGATCCCCGAATGTCTTGAACCAGGCCTTGAATGCACAATGGCATAGTGATCGGTGTCATTTGGCAACGACCTTCAAAATGCAGTTTTATGTTCAAATTCACGAAAATTAGTTTGTGAAAAACAAATTTTTTTTTTCTTTTCAAACAAAAAACAGTAAATATTCCAAAAAATGTATGCTATGGTTAGTAATGCCCTTGATTTTTGGTTAGGTTTTAGATTGGTATGTATGTGATATTTTGTTTGCGCTGTACAAGTGATGAAAGAAAATGTGATTTCAATCACACCGAGACGTGTGAGGATATTGAGTTCGCTTTTTGTGGTGCAATTACAAACAGAAAAAAAATATGTATATGATTAACAGCTACTGTATTAAAAATTATTATTTTTTTTCGTACATTAAATATGTGTTAAATGTTTTGAAATATTGCAAAGTTTGTTGTTGTTGATGTATATTTTTTTACATAAACGGCGCGAAGCGTAACGAAACAAAGAACATAGAAATGATGATGTTGAAAATGAGATATTAATTTGAATGCGGAGCGAACAGACTCGCAAAGCTAAAGGATAAAAAGCCTTAACACAATGTAGAGCACCAAGTGATCGCTTCTTAATTCAGTGACTAAACAGGGAATGTGCTTTTTTCTGGTATCGAAAGAAGAATGTTTGTTTCTATGCTTTTCAGATGAGCTTCATGCGATCGCATTTTTCAGTTTTTTGTTTATGATTTTTGATTTAATATCGATCAGACCTATTCGAATGTATCGTCGATCCACCGCTTGTGTAACCTTTGTGTCCATCACGTCCGTGCAGCGAATATCTTGAACCATATTGGCTGCCGTGCCAACTGCGATACGGATCGTATTCTTCAATTATTGAAGGTTCCTTCTCGATTATCTATTCCAACGTGAAAATAAACGTTTTAGCGGCAATGTTCAATGTTTAATTTAGTTTGGCATTTAAATACATACTTCTGTTCGTGCACAACTACAGCTCATCGCTGTGCACAGGAAAATATTCATGAGCAGCATAATGAGGAACAAAATACCTGTAAATAAATTGAACAAAAACATAAAGTAGAAGAAAAAAAACGTGAAAAACAAGAAAATATTTGAAAAGCATACCTAATGTTATGCATAGCCAGAGTAACCATGATGGTCGAATGCTTCCTTCCTCGCATGCTGGTGAAAGTACTGAAAAATAAAAGGAGAACCATTAAAAAAACTGAATATGAAACACCTTTCAACCGAGAATATTAAAGCGAAATATGTATTTCATTTATGGCTATGGCATGCCATATAAAAGCCGTAAACATTTTAAATTGCATTTAACACATACCTTGTGGTGCCTTATCTGGGTCTGCAAAATTACAGAAAAAAAATTAAATTCAATTAACAAATAAACAGTACAAATGCGCGTGAATTTTTGAGAATTGTTTATCGCGTTCTGTGTTTGTGTGTGTTTCTCTAGAAGTACATATTTTGTTCATTCGCGTTACAATAAACACAAACAAAATTGGGCTACAAATTGATCAAATGATTTAAATCATTTAATTAATTAATTTTTGGCCTCATTTTGTTTGCGTCCGATTCTGTTTTTCCGTTTGAGGAAAAAAATTATATATAATAAATTTGTTATTTTCGAAATAAAATATGTTAAATATTTTTGTCTATTTGTTTATTTTGTGGTAAGTTTTCGGGTACGTACTTAAAACACTTTTTGTTACATTCAATTTGATTCTATTTGGAAAAATCAAATTGTAAGTGAAAGAAGAAATTGTTTATATATTTTATTGAAACATTAACTTTCAATTATGTATTTCTTATTTCGACGTTCGAGCGAAGACGAAAAAAAGACACTCACCTAATACAAATACTGTTGTCGCCGCCAATGATGAACCGTCTTCAACTTTGTTGCCGGGTCTTCCGCCTTTTATTGATGAAGCTGTATACACATCGCCCGGGCATACTTCTTCAGCGCATCCGCCTACACACTGTGCAACATCACATTGAATATGAACTTCAGAACCTTTTGAAAAGAAGAAATTGTTTATATATTTTATTGAAACATTAACTTTCAATTATGTATTTCTTATTTCGACGTTCGAGCGAAGACAAAAAAAGACACTTACCTTCGGGAAATTTGAACATACTGTGTAAGTGTGCTGTTGCTTGTGTACGATCGGCGTTTGTTTCGAATCTGGAAATGATGAGTGGATCGACTGGGCATCTGAAAATTTAAAACGATCAAAAAATTCAATTAAAATTTAACCATTAACAAACAATTAAATGTGTTTATTGCCTACCCTCGGTTATCGATCAGCGGAATGCTTGTGTTCTTTTTATTGAATGCAAAGCAATTTTTAACTTTAATGCCATGTGTTCCATTTGGTTGAGTTAATTCAACTTTAACGGCGTACTCTCGACCGTACACGGTTTCGCGAACCCGACGTTGATTTTCCAAGAATTTAAGAACAACAACGGAATTTTCATCGCGATTGAATCCTGCTTTACCGCAAGTAATCACATAAAATTTATCATCAGCTAATTCGAGTGTTCGATGTACTCGCACCGCCAATTGAACGGATCGCTCTTCCGATCGCTAAATTCAACGATAGAAAGTTCAAATGAATTTTATTGTTCGATTTTTTTGGTTGGTTAGTTCAAATTAAATTCGATTAGCGTTTTTAGACCGTCAGTAAATTATTATGGTTTAAACATATTTTTTTTAGAGATAATTAGGAGTTACGTGACTGATTCATATTTTTCTCATCACAAAATAAAAACTCGTCTGTCTGATGTTCTGCATCGTGTCTTTTGCAAGGGGTCAACAAATTTCGAAACTCAAAAGCAATACCATCGCATTTATTCTCGAACGTTCTGTGACCAGCAATTTGAAAATATGCTATCGTCATTGCCAGACAAGTGAAGACAAAACAAAAACATATCGAAAAATAATCAAGTTACAATACGTCCATTGGTCGTCGAGCAAAAATGCTTGTTTAATAGCCCGTCGACTTGCGAAGCATATACCACACTGTCGTTAAAAGTTAATGTTTATCCAGTACATAAAATCAAAAAACCGTAATGTTCATGTTATTTCCTCTGTCTTTGACATATGTTCCGCATGGTGTAGCTTGTGTGATGCGCATTCTCGCATTGAATTCAAACGGTAAATGGTGAATTCGTTGAACCAATAAGTTCGATTTTTTTCGATAATGCGAGACAATCACAATGAACGAACAAAAACAAAAACAAACCTGTTGATAAAATTGCAACAACAGTACAATATCCGAACTACGACATGTAATTGTTAAATTTTTCACGCTTGACTGGCTTGAGCCGCAGTTAAAAACCGTTTTGTTTTATGCCAAACGCATAATCGATCAATCAAGCACTTATGTGAATAGACAATATTGTACAATAATATAGATTGATGTAAACATTCATGCGAAGACACTCTGATTCATTATGAAATAAATTACGTTTTGATTTCTTTTACGGAATTATCAATTAGAAAAAAATGATTATGATTTAAACATGGGTATTTGTTATTAGTGCCACTGCGCTTCTTTTCGACTGCGTAACCAAATAAAATGCATGCATGGGCGTTATGATTTAGCTGAATTGTTAGGAATTTGTTAAAATGCATTTGTATTAATGATTTTGATAGCGGTCTTTATTAGAAAAACGACGAGAGTAAAAAAAACCTGTTGTGTGTTCTGATTACAAACGGCAAAAAAAGAGGCTAAGCGAACGAGCCATAATAATCGATTGGTTAATAAATGTGCACGTTCTTACATCACCACTCACGTTGTGTACCAAGATGCCACAATAGTCGGGATCTTTTTCGCGGGCCAGTAAATTCAAACTTAGGCTGACTGTATTCGAACCATCGCCGAATTGCATGCACGATGATGTCCGATGATCTCGCGTATGAATCGCACCCGAATACGAATTGTTAAATGCAACCTTGATATTCATTATGCCGGTTCTGCAAGTAGCTGATACTTGTGGCGAAAACTCATTCGATGCACTGTCTTGAGCAGCAACATGATATAACTGAAAAAAAAAAAAAATTAAATCAAATTTGAAATTAATACTTTTTTTTTCAAAACAAAAATACACAGTTCATAATTTATTATTGAAATATGCTCACGATTCATATAAATTTAAAGCGATTCAATGTTATATGGCAACGCTTTTTTTTGCCTTGGCGATATTCATTAGCTATTGAATATACTAATGGTGGCTTTTATAAATGAATGTTTTACAATTGCAAATTGCTTACGTCAAATTACAAAAGTGCATTGTAACTGTTCAAATGAATTTGGTTTTTCATCACGACTCCTGTTAACTATGGGAATTCAAGTGTTTGATGTTAGTCGATTGGGCAGTTCTTTTTTCTGTCAGTGTCGTAAATGTATCATTAGCAGAGGTTAATCATAGTGTAATCATGGCGAACATAACGATAGAATAATTGCTTAATTCTCAGGTTTGCTTTTTTGCAATTCTAATTTGCAAAGAACGGATGGAATACCAGTAGGATTAATAGAAACAACCGATGCATTGAACTTTGCGAATACTCAATCAATCATTGAATCATAATAAAATCTATTCTGCTCATCATCACACTTCAATCAATGAAGCACAATTTGTGATGAAAAATGACTCGTTTGTCTTGTGTTCTTGGGTTCAATCAACGAATATGGTAATTTTGACGAAAAAAAGCCATATAATGCTCTTTTTTTAGAATAATGACAATCCTAGGAATTTGAGAGCGTTAAGTTAAAATTTGGCGATGCTAATGTAACCAATGAACATCATTACATCGAAACTTTCGCAAATGCTAATTTGAACAGAAAATTGGGAAAACCTAATTTCTGCACTCTCTGGTTTTTTCGTCTTTTTTTCGTTTTGCCAAATAAAAAAACGGTAGTGACTCACTATTAGTGATATGTCGATTCAAAGAAATGTGTATCATCGATTCGAAGAATTTTACGCTTGAATATACACATGAAGAATGCTTCAGTCACTGTTCAAAGCAAACAACAAGTGACTCAAAGATAATTTGAGAAAATAAAGTGTTTTGCCGCAAACGTTGTTGTTTACATTGGGTTTGGCTCACTTTGCAATAAATTGAAGTGTGCTTCCAAATATTGGCAGACATTCGAAACAGAAATTAGAATTGGTGATATCATTCGCTATTTTTTTTTGTTTCATTCAACATTATATTGAAATGAGTTGTGTGATAAATATATATTTAAATTCAAGTCATATAAAATAGCAATAATCTATTTTAAAAAAACATATATTTTAGCTCAAACATAGCTATGCGTTATCAAGGTCCGTCGGGTAATGAATTATGATGAAGTGTTAAATTCAACATACTGTATCGACATAAATGACGGAAATATTGTTTCACATAATCTGAAGAAATTCACATCTCGATATTTACTACTGCTGTTTTTTTTTCGGGTGGGAGAACAGTGATATTCTATGGAATGTCCCACATGTTTTTTGTTGTTTTGATTTGAATACATTCCTAATTTGGAATTCTATAGAGATGTAAAACAAAAGGCATACGACGCAAAAATTTCAATATCAGACAATTAAATATATTCGAAACAATGAAGCAATATGGGTTATTCGTTACGATGCACTGCGGCGGCGGCGGCACAATAAAAAATTTGCTTTGCTAAATGCTCGATGACAGTGACAACGATGGGCAAGAACTCTTCTCAATCCGGAAATGATTTGGTATTCACAGAATGTTTGCGCTTTATCTTGGTATATATTTTCACTTCATGCTCCATTTCGAGTAACTGTTTTTCATTCATCCTAATTAATTCGACCGCTGTGTATTCATAAAATTTGAATTCAGATGCCGATCGGTTTATATGTTTTGTTTGTCAAAAATAAAATCGCAGGCAATTGAAAAGTATGAACGCACAGCTTCCCATTCGAACAAACGGTACATCGAGTGAAAAGCGGGAAATATTCTGGTCGGTCGTATGGTGACAACAAATAATAAAACAAATGTAAACAATACAAATGAATTTCAAATCAACTTCATTGTCACTGCTATTTGGTGAAATTTGAATATATTAACATTTTGAATGTTGTTTTTTTTCATATTTTCATCTGTTCTATTAATGCCTTTGTCGGAATTGCTTTTTATTCTCAATAATGGCGTATGTTCTGTTATCTTTTGTATTCTTGATCGTGACTTTTTAATGAAATGCCATAAAAATTCTGGAAAATGGATCGAATAATAGCGAACATATTTGTCACCGTTTTAATGTGATCCACAAAAAAAAACTATGAAGAGTCCATTGTATGAAGATCGCCAAAGAAATGCTGGGTATCATCAACTTCGCATACAATGAACCAATGAATGCGAATGTTCATGTGAATTTATAAATAATTTAGCAAGCGAGAAAACAGCCTTTTTTACCCACATGTAATTTGGTTCATTTGATCGAAAACCACGACCTACGAAACATGCGACATAATTTAAATAAAAAAACACCGTAGGCTCATCTTGGTCGTTGGATTTTTGAGCTTATTAAAAATTGTCCACCGATTTTGTAACATATGGAAATATAAACAAAAATTATTATTTTTGTTGACCAAAATTGGCAAAGCCATTTGGAATGACGATCGCAAAAAGTGTCAGCACTGTTTACACACACAAATGAATCGCATTATGGAATGTTAACGTGGGTAACCTTGAAAAATACAAACTTTATGCACAGTGACGCAATACACACAGCACACACTATACGCTGATAATTTATAAGATTTGAATGAAAGTCTCGTTCATTCTGCTCGTTCCATTTGAGTGCAATGATTTATTTTCCCCACATGATCACATGATGACGATTTATCACATAAAGATCATAATTTTTGTTCACCTTGTGAATCGCTTCGAATCGAACTCGACTCGTAAACGGTCAGATGCAGTGAGTAATAAAAATTCTTATTGTATTTGGAATGCTAATTCTAAGAATATCAATGTGATTCACTGTATTGTGACTGAATCAATGAATTCAACGTATTTGCGATGTTGTTTGTCTAAGCATGTTTGAAAAACGCTTCAATGGAAGCAAATTCATGATGCGAAACAATGAAAGCAAACGGAGAGTCAGGCAAAAAAGGCACTTACTTACAGAGAAATGTTATAATGAATAAATTGACATTTCTTGTGATGGAACTCGGTACGAGAAATTGTTGTCGTGATCAGAAAGTCTTTCCACGGGATAAAATGAAATATTTTCACATGTGTATGGTTGTCGCCTTTGTTTTTTATTTTAAATGGCAACAAAAGAGAGTCGACATTTTTCTTTATGTAATTGTTTTCTGTGTGCTAGAGAGTTAGAGAGAGAGAGAGACCGCAACGAAAACCAAGAAATTATACGGAATTGAATTTAAAATTTATTTTCACTTTTTCCGCCCGATTTTGGTCAAACGTACGCCAAAAGGTCACGTGAATATGACTTGAATAGGTGATCAATTTCACTGTTTTTCACTATTGCCTGATCTCCGTACCACCATATCGTTGCGAATTCGCACGTGAAATATGGATGTGATCAATAATAATATTGTAAACAAAAATCGATCCAGCGCGAAAAAACATTCACGTAAAATCCAGTTTGTAGCGAAAGGGAAACGTGCGATGATCACAATGCACAATAAATCAGCGCGTCTGAAAAGCAATTCGATACGCTTTTTCATCGATGGAGTTTTTCTGTGTTTTTTCCATCATCTTAACAAATGAGTGCGTGATTTACAATTTTTTTTATGTATCATTTTAGCGCTAGAAATTAAAATTTAAAAAATTAGAAAATAAATTGCATATTCGTCCGACTGTGGCCAACAAATATTTCCGTATCTAAGGTAGGGAAGGTATCGTCAATCGAATTGTGTTTGAAATGTTAATGGGTGCTGGGCGCTCAATGTATATAATTACACATTTATCATCATCATCTTAATAGTGTGTTATGTGTGCATGTGTGTTTGAGATCATTGTGCTTGCGCGTTAAGCGCGTACAATTAACCGACTTTGATTTGTTTTTCTATTTAACAATTCAACATTTCCATTGAGACCAGGTGGATAGGTCGTAGTCACCAAAGATGCCTACTCGGCCACACCATATTTCAGCGAAACTTCAATTATTATGTAATTGCGTAATTCGAAACTATTTTTATGCTTATACAATGACCTGTAAAAAGATTTATGTATGTGCTCGCATGTTCGATACGATTGACTCGCCGCCGTTGACGAAGCAGTTATTGTCCATACTTCATACAAGTTTCTGTATTTGTACTTTAAACAGTGTGTCAGTTGAATTGTGCGAGTTTTTATTGAAGAAAAAAAAATTGTGATCATTTCAAGTGAAAATGAATCCGGTTAAGTCACGAGAAATAAAAGGAAAAACCAGAAATTGCCAAAATAATGTTGTTTTTTTTTCGATGTTGTTACTTTTATATGCTCAGCAACATTTATTCATTGAAATTTAGAGGTAAATTACATTTCGGTATTTCAAGCTTCCAAATGCTATTTGCAGTGAATAAATTATGAGTTCTTTTCTTCTATGCGCACTCCGATGCTGCTGCCGACATCAATATAAAGTAAACAATCGCATTTGGCTTTGGGAATCATTCCGAAAAATGCGGCAAAAGCAAAACATATACTTTAAACTGAATTATTCAATTAAAAGTCTGGATTTTCTACGAAAGAAGTTTGATACGGATGATAAAGTAACGCAAAACACACAACAAGCAACCAAACCATTTTTGAAGTGAACAGCATGCGCGCGCACACACTCATTGAGCTATTTCGAATTGAGAGCACATGCGCGTCTACACATAGTATAAAAGAGAAATTACATGTTTCCAATCGCAGTCGGTTCGTATGCATACAATGTTGCATAATTTAATGTGGAATTCCATTCAATATAATGAAATCACACACCGAGCTACAGAATATTTATGAATGCTACATTTGTTTCGGAACTTTTGGTCGTGGTTTGTGTTGTCGCGGTTCGCACAACAAACCC